GGTCAATGCTTTACAGATGGGTTCACCACCACTCTTAAGTAGTGAGAACGCAAAGAAATACAGGCCAACAACTCGAAAACGATTGAGGGCTGTGATCGCGTTTCGGACCTCAATCTCCGATGAAGCCTTTGAATCAATCAGCGACTGCTCTGCCTTCGCCTCATGAACAGAAAGAGACCCAGAAGCAAGGGACCAACGAAACTGCCATCGAAAGTGCTTCATTCAACAAGCCAGATGACGCATCTTAGTATGTATTAGGGCGCCCGTGTTGTCTCTCAGTCTCCCTGACGCATGGGTTCCTGTGACCAATGGCGCGGACCAGTTGGAAAAGCTTGCGATTAATGCTTACTGTTCCAGCCTCCTCCATATCCTGAGCCCTACTGGTCCACCAGGATTCTTTGTCAGCATGTAGGCTCCGTTTTAATTCCTGCCCACTAGTCCGTGTCGTTATACTCTGCTCAGAACCAACAGGGAAGTTCACAACCTCTTGGATATTCAGTGACCACTTGTGCCGCGGGAAGAGACCCTCGCGTCGTGTATGGTGGCCCAGATTCTATCCCAATGATGCACGATATCCTTAGAGCGAGAAGGTGAGAGCGCGGTATGCTATTTAGAATAACGGCCAATTGAAAGAGGAGCTTAGTATGTCTATTGGTAAATTTCATGGAAAAACGACGGCATACAAAGGCATGATCAAACACAACAGTCCAGGATTGAACAGTCACCTGTAACTTATGGTAATGCCATCTATATGGGTCCATTGCTGGCCAAGCGGTACTTCGACGCTCACTGTACCTAAAAGCGGTGCTGTTAAGAAACAACCGGTGCTGCGCACATAGTTGCAACAGACGCTTGTCGTTGTCCGTCCGATCGGAGTAAGTCTATACTTAGCTGAGCTTCTGAAGAGCCCAGACGACACACCTGCATATTCAAATCCTCAGCAATGACAGCGAACTCTGAACTGATAGCTCGAATAGCGGCGTATTCAGTTCATAATTTCATTTGTACTGTAGTCGGTGAACATAAGAGGCAACCAAAACAAACAGCGTCTAGTGCCACTTTCAGAATCAATCTTAGATGATGCCGTCAAACCCGTTGAACACGAACGGCTGCTCACGGGAATCCTGTCAATGATGACTCAGCCTTGGAACTAAGAACGATGCCCATCCTAGCTTGACCGGTGGTTGCCACACCAGCGTTTCTGGATGAGTGCAACCAATAACACGATGACACATCGGGCGCAGTTAATGCAACAACCCCTTAAAGGTCATTGCTTCTAGGTTTAGGCACGCAACTGACGTCATTATCCGGGGCACCCAACGTACGTGTGTGTGCAGACTGTTCATCCATTTACTTTAGAGTGCGAACGCTGAATGACGCCAAGGAAACGAAGCACCGCGATCTCTTAGGGGGTTAGTGGTGATAACAGTCCAGTGAGTGATGTGGGATGATAACTGCAGATAGCAGAACTTCAGTGGTATTGCAGTTGCCATCAGATAAGATGGAAATGATAGAAGAAAAGGTAGTAATTGGGATCCGGAGGAGAGTAAGAGAAACAAGGAGAAAGAAGGCACCAACATTAGCATTTTTTCGCTTGTCTGTCCGGCTGTATGTAGTGGATAAGGAGAACATTTGAAAGCTGCACAACGATCATTGCATGGTGTGGTCGAAGGTTGGGGGTGTCATATTAGTAAGTGAGCTGGGATACTACCAAGTCGCTCAAACCTAGACAGCGGAACGACTACAGTTATCAACCAAAGCCTTTGGATCAAACGACTACCCGCAAGACAGCGGGGGAGGGGGGGTGGCGGCGATTCGGTATTACGGGAATGAACGCCATCCGATTTCGAACCCACAACTTGCAGGATCAGGAGCATTTAGTCAAACCTCTAACCACTGACCAAACTGGTAAGAGTAATTCTCAAAGGGTCCGAGGGCACCACCCAATATAGATCAATAAAAGAAAAACAAAGGCGACGGGAGAAAAAGCGACCAATTGTATTAGATTACGTCGTGGGGCTTATACATTAATAAATATGACAGCAATGTTATCTTTCATTCGTTAGCACAAGTAAGCAATTGCTTAGATCAATGAAAGAAAATGGTACAGTCTTTCCGACTGCCAGCCAGCCACCAGAGGAGAAGGATTCCAACAATCAGCAGATTCATATAACTTCGAGCATTTGAGCAGCCACTTGAAACTGTGATCTCACTCTAAATGATCTAAGCAATCGTTTATATTTTGTACTAACGAATGAAAGTGAGCATTACTGTCATGTTTATCACCTATACGGCTGACGAAGAAATGATCAAAACCAGATGCGTGCTTTTGGCCCACTGCTTTTTTTCTGGAGTCAACTATGTGGGGCCCTCACTTCGAAGCTGGCCTTGGCTTCCTGGTTGGGGTCCGAAAGACGATAAACACGTTTGGCTGGATACACTTGCTAACATAGCTAAGAGCCGACCACAATGGCGTTCGTGTTGTGAGTTTCTTTGTCCCACCCCATCTCTCTTAACCTTCCCCTCCAACCACTATATCACTTCTTAGCCTAATATATTTTTGCGTAATAAATTTTTTGCTGCATAGTAGCCGGCTGGTAGCTTTCCGGAACGATACCCATCCGTTACCGGTAGCTTAGCTGGCTTGCATTTGTTGCATTTCCACTTTTTCTTTTATGTATTGGGGCACAGTAGCTGAGGTGTTTTCCATTTCTAGCTAACATGTATGGTGATGATGATATGGGATATCTTAGATGACTTGAACAGCTCAATGGGTCATAGAGCTACACAAACAGACGTACCACCTTAAAGTTCAGTCCAATTGCGACGGTTCAGGTGAAATGGAATAAGGTCTGATTACGGACGAGGTAGGAAACGGCCGGTGGCCGAGTGGTATGCATGCCTGGCTTGCAATCATAAGGTCACCGGTTCGAATCCGCGTAGGAGCAGGCCTCCTCACGGTATACTCAGCCCACGCGCGGTTAGTGGTGGTCGCACGGCAGCGAAGCGCTGTTAGAGTGTATAGCTATTTATTATTATTAATATTATTATTATCATTATGATCAGGAAATGGATTGTCACGAACAGCAGGTGAAAGTTAAGTTGGTGTCACCGAACTGGGGCTGAAGACCCGAAGCGCGATGGCGTATACCTAACTGAGCAGATAAAGCCTGTGTGGTCGGTACACTGAGTCAGAATCACGCAACGCGCAAGCAAGGAGACAGGCAACAGAGAATTTTCACGACGTACCACGAGCCAAGTTCAACGTGCTTCTAGAAGGGTGCCTTCGCAATGTGGTCTATATCTGGTGGGAACACTGTGTGAGCAATGAACGTGTTCGACGCTTTGGTTATGGCACAGGATGAAGAAGTGAACCGTTCAGCATCGTTACAGCACGCACCAGGCTGCAGTGGCTCGGTCACGTGTTGCGCATGCCAACACACCGACTCCTGCGACGTGCGTTGTTTGTCCGCCTGGAGTGTGGATGGAAGAAGAGGAGGCGTGGCCAAGCGATGAATTGGTCCAGAGGAATGAAGGCCTCGGTTGGAGCCTCTCGACTCCCTGGTTGGGGTCCAAAAGATGATGAACACGTTTGGGTGGATACACTTGTTGACATGGATAGGAGCCGACCACAATGGTATTTGTGTCGTGAGTTTAATTGTCCCTTCGTCTCCTCCTCCAACCCCGATCTCACTTACTAGGCATAATATAGGTTTTGTGCGGCACAACAGCCAGCTATTAACTATCCGAAACAATGTCCATCCCGTTACTGGTGACTCAGCCTGCGGACCCCTGTTACAATTTTTCTTATGTATCGCGGCACAATAGCTGAGGTGTTTTCCACCTCTAGCGAAGGTGTATAATGATGATTATGAAAGGGGGCGACAGTGAGTTAGACCGAGCACAACAGAGTGGCGCAGGAGAGCCATTGAAACCAGAGAGATAAGGTAAGGCACGAAAATGGCAAATAGCCAGTAGGTAATCGTCGCGACTGAATAGTGTTTCGAATTTTCATGCAGCATAAATGATTCTACGCCTCATGAATAACAGATTTGGTCGCCGTCCGCATTTACCTGGACTCCTAGAGAGCTACCCGATAGTCTCTACATGGTTTTGGATCTTCAAGATACTATCGATACATTCCGGGTGGAAACGAATAGGTCGAAACTCACAATGATCTCTGGGTAAAACGGTATGCTAGTCTCAAGAGTGAGCGAAGCCGGATGGCATCAAGAGGCGTAAGAGATGGAAACGGCCGCTGCTCTTGGTAACAGTCAGAGGTTATTACGTTTCATACGGGGACCAGAGGCTGTCCGGTTTGATGAGGATGGTAGCAAGCCATTGTGCACCGGGCTGTGCTCTACCACCTTCAGCGACCATGCGCGACACTCGTACCCTATGCAATCGAGCAGTGAGCTGATAACCCGTTACATGATCATCGATCTCTCCTCAAGCTTCGTAGAGTATGCTGAGACTGAGTTGGTCTGACGCCTAACCATTGACCTGTTTTGTAAGTGTGGTTGTGAAAGTACTTGAAAATTGCTTTCTAATGTAGCGCAACGAGTCACGGAGGAACGCAACACGTCGTATCGCGTTAAGATAGTGTTATCGAGATCGAACCGCTGGCCGTTTGATATTGGCAGAAACCAAACAAAAGGCTTAAGATGAGAGATCAAATAGAGTGCGGAAACCAATGGGTCGCAGAGATAGTTCTGTGCAGCAAGTACATAGTTACTCTTGTTATACCGAGAGTCAAAAAGCAAAATGAAGGATTAGACTGTGACAAGCAAGGTAAATCTCTACCTCTGGATAATTGTGAAAGCTAAATAAAATGGGAAAGATAGCCTTAGATTCAAATGAGAAGTGCGACAGTAGTCCGGAAATACACCTTGACTACATTTCGCAGTTTTGTCATGTGGAAGGGAGCAACATTGAAACCTCTCATCTAGATTCAGAAAAGTTTACAATATGAACAGATGGATCATAGATAAAACACCTACCCCACAACGGCGTATCCACTCTGAAACCCCAAATGCCACGAATAGACACGCGGAGCACAAACTTAAGAGCAGAGGTGAAATGAGCAGTCCCAGAGTGAAGACCAAACCAGCACATATGTGAAAAAGTTTGCGCAGCTGAAAATAACGGTTAGGGGTTTCAGAATGAATGAATCTCCGCAGAGTTCCGTGCCGAGAGAGGTCCGTAGCAGGAGTTAGACCAGATGAACTAACACAGGGTCCCAGTGGGTCTTGAAACTCCCCATGCAGTTCCAGATTGTTCGGAGACGCAGTCTGATTCAAACTCGAAGGCCCACGGTTCACAGCAGGTGATATAATCCATTCGGGATGAATGCAACGATTAACCCAGACGATGCTGACACACAACAGTAACAGGATCATCCAAGTAAATATTAACAGAAGATTAGGAAAAGTGAAGAAGCATTTGAGAGAATGCAATCTCAGTCTATACAGAGTATAAAACTTGGGAAACAGTTTTCGTAAGATGAAAGATATACCTGATAAGTTCATGAGTACGAGGGGGGTTACAGCGCCAAATGTGCAACGAACGGAATACCGCTCAACAAAGTAAGCAGTCAGGAACGCCAAAAGAAACAATGGAGAGGACTGGATAAACACGGTTAACAAATGGGATAGGATAAGTGCCTCACCAATTGTGAATGTTTTAGGATAAGTCTGCAGTAATCCGCGTGTGCAGAAGAGATTGAAACCCAAAACGAATAGAGATCGAATAGAGAGGGTAGTATGGAGGAAGTAGGTACATATATAAGAAGAATAAAAGAGGAACGACACAAAAACTGTGTGCACGGTATTTAAGAGTAGGAGTAAATGTACCACGCAGCTGCACAAATCTAATGCCAACGAATAGTTACCAGTACGCGATAAAAGAACTGGAACGATCACTCCTAACCAGACGCCGGAACTGCAGGCTTCTCGAGTACGACCAATCACCGACCAATTCATCGTGGTGGCTCTAGTTCTGCAGCATAGTTGGGGACACCATTCTATGACGCATAACCAGTCGCGTAAAATGCAGATGCATGCCGCGTACCAGACGAATGGGTACCTGAAACGAAAAACTGCATGTACATTCACGGATTAGATACCGGATGAATTTCATTAGCTATAAACTAGGAAAACTGCCTCCTATGTCACGCAGTGTGCCACGCACAGCCACCGCGTAACGGCGATTGTGGCTTCACAGAGACAACCCACTAATCATGCAGCAAGTGTATCACAAAATCGTGATAACGGACTGATGTTTGAACGCACTGTTAGCTAAGATGTCACCGGACGGCAATGAGAACGGAGTGCAATCAAGTGCGACGGATAGAGAGCGTGTATAACCCACTAGGCAAAGTAAAGGTTAGGTGGAAAGGGAGGCACAACAATGTACGGTGGTGGCATCATGAACTGCACTGCGTAATTTGTAATAGTTTTTCTCTGCCCTGCAACAGTAAGTAACTCAATAATGTGTAGTTAAGTTGAACAACTATAATTCGAGCACCGAAGTGCGGTGGATCCAGTTGCCACGACTCACATCACAAGGATAACAATAAAATCCGAAGGTGAGATAGTAGGGTTAAGTGCAAATATAATGTAAAGAAAATGGTACAATGAAGGCTTCAACACCATTAATACACGTTAGCCGAGGGTGAGAAACACACCTCAGCTAATGTGCCGCAATAGAAAAAAGATAAGAGATTAAACATTACAAGCTAAAAAAGCCAGAAAAATTACTTAATACTAAGTAGCGTATGATGCATTGGATATGGGATCGTTGTTGGAGTGGGAAGCTAAAGGGGGGGAGAGGGACGAAATGACTCACAACACAAATGCCCACTGAGGTCAGCTCTTGGACATTTCAACCAGTGTATCCAAACAAACGCGTCCATTGTCCTTCGGTCCCCATCCCTGCAGTCGGGAGACACCAACCGACGCCAAGGCCCGCATTCCCCTTGACCAACTCATCGCTTGGCCATCCCTCTTCTTCCATCCACACCCCCGGCGCGCAAAAAGCGCACGACGCGGGAGTCGGTGTGCTGGCATGCGCAACACGTAGCCTAGCCATTGGAGCCTGGTGAGTGTAATAACGGTGCAAAGTGGTTCACTCGATCGTCCTACACCAAATACACGACGCCGAACATGCTCACTGCTCATGCGGTGCTCTTACCAGACATCAGCTAAGCTGCGAAGGCAGCGATGATCGAACGTAATTAGCCTCTTTATGTCTGTAGACTTGATGGGTCAGGTTTCGCAACCGCACAGAAAGATGGAACGGCCGGCCACAGTGTAAACTAGGCTGTCTCGAGTGTGGGTGATGTCACAACGGCGCCACAGGTGGCTATACGGTTCGAGATCTCATCTACAATCCCACGGGCCCTGATATAGCTGCCTAGATACTTGAATTGCTGGATGACTTCTAGCTGATCACCACCAAGGGCCAGCGCAGGTGGGTCTCGGCCAATCTTGAGGGTGCAAAACAAAGCCCGAAACGAGTGACAGCCAGAGCTAATTTATCAAGTGCAGCTTCGTATGTTCGGGACCTGTCACAGAAGAGGGTAATGTTGTCGACATAATCAGAGTCAAAAAGTCGGTCACCAGCAAGCAGCTCCACACCTTCTAAGTCGTGACCACAGAAAGCCGTTTCTATGACTTCGTCGATGGCAATATTAAAGAGAAAAGGTGACAGTGGGAAACAATATCTCACATTGCTGGGGACATTGAACGGCGGCGTAAGTTTATTGCAAACAATGAATCTGCCCGAACGATGCAAGTAAAGGGCTCTGATAATGTTTGCGTATTTTTCGGGCACATCTTTCCTGAGTAGACATTCCCAAAAGACAAACCGATCTACCGAATCGAAGGCACCTCTGAGGTTTAGGAATACGACTACAGTTGGTTGCCAATAAATGTAGCGGTGCTCCAACAATTGATATAATGTGAAGATGTGGTCAATGCAGGCACGATTCCGACAAAACCCGGCTTTCTCCTTGCACATTTGGCTATCACGAGTGTCATTTAGTCTATGCAAGAGGATTGAAGCAAGAAAGTTAGAGATCAGACTGGATCCTGTATGACTGCCAGCTTCTGAACGGGAGCATCCCTTGGAAATTGGGACGATAACGGAGCGGTTTTAGTCTGTTGGGACGGTCTTCTGCTCCCATAGATTCACTTGTAAGCAAGCCATGCAAAAGAGCAGAGCCCCCAAATTTGAATGGCGCTGGATGAAGTCTATCTGCTCCAGGGTCCCTTTTCAATTTCGACCGACTGAGTTCACGTACGATTTGTGCGCCACAGCAGATCCAAGGAAACGGTCCAGGGAGAAGGGCGATCATTGGCCGATGGAGAAGTTGGCTACTCTGACTGATCAAACTGTCCCTCAAAGTGTTCGGCACAACGATCCAAACGTTTTGACAAACTGTGGATCGGCTGTCCGCTCTCGCCACATTGTTTCACTAACACCAGGTCTCCTGCTGCCCGCTTCCAGTATCACAAGGAATAACTTCCGATGGTTAGCAAAGGCAGCAGCCATTTACATCTCCGATGCACGATGAGACCATCAGGATTCTCGATCACTCTTCAAGGTAGCACGCAATTTCATCCTGATATCTTTGCGAGTCCCACTGTATTCGCCTTCAGCCGGAACACGTCGTCAAGCATCCAAAGTTTCATAGACTGCGTACAGACCCAATGTCCAAGCTGGCAACTCGATCTGCCACATGAAGACATGCGTACTGCTAATAACGTCCGGCGTGCATGCGACCAGTGATCTTCAACTGTTTTCAGCGATTACTTACTCAGCTCGGATTTCAGTGTACTTTGACATGCGTTCAGAACATCTCGCTTCGTTCGTTGGCAAGTAGCTATGAGATCACAGCGCCGTTGCGGACGTCCACCGAAACACGCCCGCAGGTCGACACAAACAAGTGTGTGGCCAAAATCCACGCTCACGCTCTAAATCGAGCGACAGTTTTGAACACAACCTATTCAGCGATAACTAATCGCGATGTGATCGAGTTGCATCCATGGCTGGTGGAGGCCATGTCACCCTCTGGCGGGTGCTGTGTCGAAAGTTAGTGCTCGCAAGATATAGACGAGCATTTTCACACAGAGGTAGCAACCGCTCACCGTTATCAGTACGGGAGCCTACAACATGTTAGCCACCAAAAGTGCACCTCATCCGTGGAGAGTATTCCGATTTGGGCGTCCAAATCACCAGCAAGCACCACAATATCCGTATTTTTAATGTAACGAAGAAGCGCGTTTAACGGGTGATAGAAATCGTCCTTCACTGAGTCAGCGTTGCAATTTGTAGGAGTGTAGGCTGCAATATCAATTGCCTATCGGAAAGTCGCATACAAGACCCGAGTTCTGTGCTCATTCAGAGAACCCTTCAGGTGACACTAGCAGTGTTTTCTCATTGCTCCTATCCGGTGACGATGCATCTGTGAGCAGCGGCCAAGTCGGCGTTGGTATTGCTTTGAGTCCCCGGACTGAAGCTCCTCTGGTTGATTGGATCCAAATCAGCAACCGGATTGTGCGATCAGATTAGCTGGCTCGTTCAAAGCCTCGAAGTCGCCTGGGGCTAATAGGTATCTGTTTAGCATCGCTGCATACGCCCCCATAAACTGTGGCGATGACTCGGTAAAAGAGGACTTCTATCGCCAACTGAATGACTTTCGTCACAGAAGTAGTACGGATACAGCAGTGCAGGGTGGGGATCTTAACGCTCAAGTTGGGAAATTGTCCACTGAAGAGTTGCATCTAGTCGGCCAACATGGTGTATGCTCCCAAAATGATGATGGTGAGCAATTACTTCACTTGTGTGAAGATCCTCACTTACCTCTTGCGAGCACTAACTAACGACACATCGCGACCAGTTACCGCTGGAGAGGCTGCGTTCAAAACCATCGCTCAATTTGGAGCACAAGTGTGGACACTGGTCATGCACTTGTATGTGCATGTATATATATATATATATATATATATATATATATATATATATATATATATATCCGTCGCAACGAGACTGGACCTTAACGTGGTGCGACGGTTTGCGTACCTCATTGACCAATTGAACTATACTGGGTGATGCCTCCGAGCATCTTGAGAGTTACTCCTACCAGGTTGGTCAATGGTGAGAGGTCAGACAAACTCAGTCTCCTGGTCCTCCAGGTTGGGGGTTTGAAATCGGATAGCGTCCATTTCTGTAAAATTAAGTCACTGCCACCCCGCTGCCTTGCGGACAGGCTTTTGAGCCAAAGGCTTTGGATGAGAACCCTAATCGGCCTCCTGTCTAGGTCTGGGCGCCCTGGCAGTATCCCAGCCCATATTAAACCATGACTATTTCTTCAAGCATAAACTTCATCCTGCATCGGCGGTCGCGCAGATTATCAAGGGTCGCCTTATCTGCTGCATACAGCAGGGCGGATAAGCGAAAACATGCTACTGCTGGCGCCTCCCTTCGTTCTTTTCCACCTTTTTCTCTTACTCCCATCCAGACCCCCATTACTAACCTTCTATAATTCCCAACTTAATTGACAACAACCGAAGTGCCAATGGAGTAGAACCATCTGCAGCCACCATCCCACAGCACCTATCGGACGCCTATCAACAAAAGTCTCTTATAAGGCCACGCTGTCCCGTTTCCATGGCGACATTCAACGTTCGCACTCTAAGACAAACAGCTCAACAGGCTGCACTCGCACGCACCTTGGACACACTGGGTATTGATGTGTGTCGTGTGTCCGAAACTAGGATTAATGACCCTAACGGGGTTATTGAATTGACTGCACCCGGATTATCCTCTCGTTATTGATTGCACGCATCCGGAGACGCCGACGCAGCACTCACGGGTCAAGCTGGTGTAGGTATCATTCTAAGCTCCAAGGCTGAGCCATCGTTGGTTGATTGGATTCCGGTGAACAGCCGTTTATGTGCAGCCCGTTTGACAACATCAGCTAAGGTGAATTCACGATGTACTACAAAACGCTGTTTGTTTGTGATTTCCGTTTATGCTCCCACCGACTGCAGTTCTAATGCAGTCAAGAACACATTCTATCAC